GAGAGAGAGAGAGAGAGAGAGAGAGAGAGAGAGAGAGAGAGAGAGAGGCAGGTGCCTGTGGAGACCAGAAAAGGAAATCAGGTCCCCTAGAACTGAAGTTATAGGTGTCAGTAGCTGCCCAACATGGGCACTAGGAAACGTGGGTCCTCCAGAAGAGAAGCAAGTACTCTTAATCATTGAGCCATCTCCCTAGCCCTCCATCACAGTTCTTAAAGTGAGCCCGGATGCTGGCTCTGAGCTGCCCGTTGAGGTAAATGGAAAGGAACATACAGATTCTTAGAAACAAAGTTCACAGTTCTCAGGTAGAAATGAACTGATTGATTTCTTGTTTGTTTGTTTGTTTTCTCTTTGACTAGCAGTAGATTTGAGAGAAATTTCTCTTGTGGATTTTCTTGAGTGGGTCAGCCAGAGACCTTGGGGACCCATTCAATGACAATCTTAAAAATGGCATTTCACATCACAACAGAGGCAAGTGCTGAGCTCTATGTATAGTAACGTGTGGGCAAAACACTAAAACAGAGCTCCAGAGAATGAAGATCTGCGGTGCTTACAGTGCATTTGTATAATCTGTCTCTATGGAGCTTGTCATCCTCTAGGGAGAAACCCAGAAATGAGCCAAAAGCTTCCAGAATCTTGTTTCTATATTCTACATTCCTGATACACATAGTGGGGTGATAGAGAATAAATAGTCAGTACGGTATCCTCTAGCAAAGACCTAGAGTACAGCTCTGCCAATTAAGGCCAGTCTGCTATGTTTGGGAGTCAGCAGAATAGAGACAGCTAAGATCTATACTATCTCCTGCAAGAACACCGATAGCATGGCGGCATATTTCTCTCTGATAACATTGGGCAAACTAAAGCAGGGATGAGCCACACAAGTTGTGAACTCAACTCAACAGTGACCAAGCAGGGGGTGATAACAATTCAGGCTCTCGATCCTAGTAGAACCCAGCTCCACCGATTCAGCCGTCAGTTGGACCATTCTCCAGTAGCAGTCTTGCTCCCATCGTGTTAAACAGGGGTTGCACTAGGATTTGGCATTAGGTTATAATATGGATCCAACGGACCACGTACATACAAGGCCCCAGCACACAGCAGGCTCCCAACAAATTAATAGCACACGATTTTGTAGACAGGTGTGGTGATATGGCTATGCTTTGAGTGTGTCCCCTCTAAAGGTTCCTGTGCTGGAAGCTTGGATTGAGAGGTAGGAGGTCTCTAACATATGGACTCGTGAAGGTGAGTGGATCTCAGGGAAGCCACACTCATATGGAATCAATGTAGTAATGAACTGTGGAAGTGAGCCCTGAAGGTATAGGCTTCATCTGTGGCTGCTTGCACAAGACCTGCACACAAGATCAAGGCAGGAAAAATTCCACCATGGATGGAGGAGGGTTCTCCTCATTCAACAGGTAGCCCTCCACTCAAGTACACATTGCTAGTACTAATAGGATTCAGTGGGTAAGAAAATAAAGACATGAAGTTTGAAGGAAGATTGTATGTGGTGTCTGGGAGGAGCTGGGGATGAGGGGTGGATCTGATGAAAAGACATTATACACATATATAAATTTCTCAGAGAATAAATGAAATGCATGCCAATGAATAAATGTAGTTCTGAGGGGATCAGATTAATTCTTGATGCAGACATGTGATCCTTTCACATTGTGATATGATGCTGTCAACTACAACCATACTGAGTGTCAGTTATATCTATCGTGGGATGCATGCATCCCAGAGTCACAGGTTAGAAACTCCTGAAAGCAAGCCTCATTTTATATACTTGGCCTGTCCAGGTATGGCTCATTTCATCTCTGCTCTTGCCATATGACATAACCTACCTTGTTCTAATACACTAAAAGGCCTTCCCCAGAGGCTGGCCCTGTGGGGTCAGTCAGTCTCAGACCTTCAGCCTCTAATACAGTGAGTTAAATAAGCATCATTCTTTACAAATTATCCATACGCTGGTATTTTGTTATAGAAACACAAGACAGACTGAGATAATCCCAAAAGAAACCATAGGAGAGTTTTCTTCCACTCTATTGTCTGTATGAAATTTTTCTTCCAGTAATAACATTTGTGATATTGATTCTTTGAATGAAATTTTTCATAATCTTTTTCTCTCCTGCAGCACAAAGTTAGACTGGGTTCTTATTCCAAGGTGGCCCCCTAAATCACCTTCTGGTGCCATTTGTCTGTTTAATGGTGGGAACAAGATATCTGCCCAGTCATCAATACACAGAAATAAGGCTGGCAGGGCTGAGTACTGCAAGAGTCCTAAGGTATCAGAGGGAAGTCAGTCAGGAGTCTAGGAAGACAGCATCAAAGGCAGAAAGAGTTTGGTGTTTTTGAAATGCAGCTAGAGGCCATTTGTGTCTGTGTTCTATAGGGTAAAACCCAAATGCCATCCAGGTACATCTGTCCCATGGTCTGGCTTAGCCTCATAGCAAGGGCTGGCCAGCTCACATCTCTCCATGTGGTCTCTCTCAGACTCCCCTGTGACCATGACTGTCACATGTGAGTGTCACCCTCAACCTGGCCATCTTCTTCTCACTCTTGAAGATCAGCTCAAATGCTTCCTCTTCCCCGGCAGAATTATTCATCCTATATTGTGTTGCATCCTGGCTGCATTCTGGGCTTGGAGAGCTTGGAAATCAAATCCTACTCACTCTGAACCTCTAGCATTGAGCACAGTACTTTACACCTGCAGCTGTACACGTGAGATGAGGTAACTGTGGGATAATAGATGCCCCAGCTGTTAAGAGTGCTTCCTGCTCTTCATGATGACCTGAGTTCCGTTCCCACTACTCATGTTAGCTGGCTCATAACAAACAATCTATAACTCCAGTTCCAGAGGATCTGATGCTCTCCTCCTCAGGTACACATGGCACACACATGCACACACCCATGCATCCACACACAAACATACACACCCCTAAATAAAATTTAAAAATGAATCTGGTTTTTAAAAATAAGAGCCTTTGAGACTTTGTCTGGAGTTCTGATTACTCCTGTGGTTCTTTGAAAAGAGACCACGAGAGTTTGTGAACAGAGTCTAAAGATCACACTGTAACTCCTCTCTATCTCTCCCTCCCTGTGCTGTCACACTGGGCTCAGGCATGGAGGGAAATCCTTGCCTGAGGGTGCAGAGAGACCAAAGAGGAAGGATGCCATACCTGATTGGGGCTGTGGAGTTCTCCAGCTTCCACCAGGCCTTGGGTGGGTTCAGGTAGCGGCACCACAGCTCCCAGTCGAAGCCTTGGGCAGCCAGAGGGTACTCTTCTATCTCAAAGTTGTCATATTTGATGTTATCAAAAGATGGTGAGATGATTCGTTTCCGGTTTTCTTTGATGCGGGTGAGGACTGGTTCCGCCCTGAGCAGGAAGGAGAAAGAGATCAATTACTACTGCAGAGGTGGGCTTATTCATCTCCCAGCAGCAAGAAGGAATCTCTGCTCCCCAAAGAGGAAGAAGAGAAGTGGTGTTCTGCATCCCCAGGAGTTGACATCCCATGGGCTGAGGACTTCAAGTTTGGCAAGAAGCCCAATGGCCCCTTCAGCACACCCAGAACTGAACTGAGAGATTCTCACCAAGCCCCTGTGATATTTTTACCCACATGACAAAAATCAAGATGAAGAAGGAGAAGGAGGAGAGGAGAAGAAGGAGAGGGAGGAGGAGGGGGAGGAAGAGGAAGAGGAAGAAGAGGAGGAAGAAGAAGAGGAAGAGGAGGAGGAAGAGGAGAAGAAAGAGGAAGAGGAAGAGGAGGAGGAGGAGGAGGAGGAGGAGGAGGAGGAGGAGGAGGAAAGAATAAAAAAAAGAAATAGATTTGAAACTTTAGAGGAGCTTTCAACCTCAGTTTTGATTTTGCTTGGACCAATCTGGAGGAAGAGACAGGTGGTGTGGGCAAAGGTATATTCTCCTCTGCTTCAGGGAGTGTCGGGGATCCAGGTTTTCTCCAGGGATGGGCAGGTCCCTCTGGGTAGTAGGAGAATAATGTATTTGCCAACAGGAATGATAAGCTTCTCATTAATAATATATTCTGTTCATAATTGTTTATTCAAATCAGCTTGAAATAGTAAGTGTCCCTCTCCTCAGCTGGCCATAAATCCAGCAGAAATGCTTTTTAAATGGTCACAAATAGCACACAGGGACTTCAGAGAGAAAGTAATGACTCTCCTGCAGCCTTAGTTTGAGGCTATGATGCTGGCATCCCACCCAGGCTGCTGCAGGCCCTGCCACTCCTTGCTGCCAGCCTGCCCTTGCTGCCCTGCTTCCCTCAGGCGAGGCTGCCCCCATGGAGCTAGGAAGGGGAGTAGAGACACTTAGGCTCCTGAGCACACAAGGAAAGAGGGCAGAAAACTACATGATTCAGCTACTCACAGTTAACCCGAACATCTGTGCTCCCATGTCACACAGCCATGCACTGTGAGCAGTACCCTAGCCCTGCAGGGCCACCAGTATCACGCGCCCTCTGAGGGATCAGCTACAGAAGCCTCTTGTTAGTTCTCTTACTTATCCCATCTGGTACCTAAATGAGCTGACTTGAGAAAGGAAGACTCGCTAAGACTTAATTTTGTTAGAATGTAGGTTCTGAAGGCATCTGAGGATCCAGGAAGTCACCTTTACCCACTTCTGCCCATTTGTTCTTGCCTGGTCTGTGAGGTGAGGTGAGGCATCTGTCTTGTATCCACTCCAACTTATCTGCCTGCAGACGACAGATTCCTGTGCTCGCCTGAACATGAACTCTGTGCCGCTCTGCTTTTTTTTTTTAAATTTCTGTTTTATATGTATGAATGTTTGGCCTGCATGTATGTATATGTACCACATGTGTGCAGTGTCTGCCAAAAGCAGGTAATGGATCCACTGGAACTGGAGTTGTAGATGGGTGGGAACTGCCTTGTGGGTGCTGGGAATTGAACATGGGTCCCTTGAGAGAGCAGCCAGTGTTGTTAACCACCGAGGCATCTCTCTGCTTTGCCCTTTGTATATACTTGTCTTCATGATCTGGTGTCACACATCCTTCACGTGCTGACTCCTGACTCTTTGCCCTACATGAGACCCAATCCTGTCACAAGCTTTGTCTCATTCACAACCCATACCTCAGCTGTCTCCACAACCCTCTTCTTTTCCTCCACCCCATGACTAAGACTTCCAGGATGCACTGAGCTTCCGAGTCAAGCCCCCTAGTTCCCACCAGGACCCCTCCTCTCCCTAAAGCACTCACCAGCCCACATTGAACTCCACATGGGCATCGAACAGTGCCACGACGGGAGCTGTGGCTGCCCTCCAGCCGCTGACCCTGGAGCGGATGAGGCCTTCCTGCTTGCTGTGCCGCACAACTTTGATGAAGCCTGGCTTCTGGCTATTCACCTTGTCCACATAGTCAGTCAGCTTTTCTTTGAGCTCTTCTGTTGGTGAGAAAATGCCTCTTAGCCAAGTGAGAACAAAGAGCAGATGCAACCAAAACGTCCATGGCACTAAGGTGAAGTAACACTCCTTCCCAGGAGCCAAGAGCACTCCACCCCAGCCTCCAGGTTTTCTCTGGCCTCCAGTGGTGGCCAGCATAGCTCAGCTTTGAGGGCAAACAGAAAGAAGCATTAATTGGCATCATGCATTTGTCAAGCACTCACATACACTGATTCATCATCACAGCAAGGCAACAAGGGATGGGGTGGAGAGAACTCACCAGTTTCCCCTGCATTATACAGCAGGTAAGTGTCGGAATCGGGTTTACACTTGGTCTATGGACTTGACCACCTTGGGCCATCAAAATTTTGAATATAATATAAATGTTTCCCTCATGTGCGTGGACATCTAGTCCTCAGCTGGTGGCACTGTTCTGGGACTATTTGGGGGATGATAGCATCAAGCCACCTTTGCCTGCTTCTGTCCGCTTGGTGCTGTCTTGTCCGTGAAAGAGGACATCAGGCTCTGATCTATCCAACTCCATAGCCTCCAGAGTGGAGCCCTGTGCTTGCTGGGCAGGAGCTCGCTGCTTCACATTTTCCCTGCCATACGTCTCAGATGAGGATGTTAGGTAGGGCCATACCTGGGGCCACCACATCCTTTAAGTGCCAATTCATCCCTCTCCTTCCTGTTGGAGAGGTGGTGCTATTACAAGGGTCACTTACACACCCCCTCAGCTGTCTCCAGAATGCTCTCTGCTAGCCGGTGACTGAGATACTAACATGCATCATATTTCTGACCTGAAACTCCTGGATCACACTGGGACTCCTCCCAGGTCACTCATCGGCCCACATTGAACAACACTTGGAGGTCATGGAGCAGTTGGGAGGTGGGAACTAGCTAGAGGAAGTAGGTCACTAGGGAGTGTATCTGTAGTCCACTCTGCTTCCCACCTCACGTGGTCCAGACCATGAATCCCACTATATCTTGCCAAGCTCTAAGCCAAAACAAACCTCCCTCCCATTAAATTGTGTCTTGTCAGGTATTTGGCCACAGCAGTGAGAAAAGTAACTGATGAACCGGGCTTCTCATCAGCTCAGCGGTTACTTCTTGGCCAGCTTCCTTCATTGCTCCTCTCAGCCAACCAGAGAAGCTCCGGTGGGCAAGACCTAAGTTAGACTCTCTGCCAGGATCATGCTTTTGGGAGATCAATGGCAGGCACTGTGCTGTGGGAACAAGGGGACAGTGGGCTGCTGCCCGCAGTCACTGGGCCTGGCTTGGTGTGTACCATGCTGTTTCTCCACTTCCACAATGATGTTTCCCATCCTGGGAGGACACAGTGGGCATGGTGATTATGTCTCCACAGCAGGGGAAGCAAGAGCCTGGGACTCCTCACAGCCTGCTGAGAAGGGTTCATTTTGAGCCAACTAACCATTACCAGGAGCAAATCTATCAGGGGATGAGGGCACTTCCGTATTCCATATTGAAGAGAGGAACCTGTATGTATGTACTCAATGTTCACACCTTATCTGGGACACACAGGGAACTATGTTCTAAGACACTGATGAAGGGGATTGCTACCAAAGGTTCCTCCTAGGAATCCTACCTCCCCACATTGACTTCATACCCTCCCTTGTATACCTCAGGGGACCTGAAGAACCAACTTTTCTTTTCTGGCTGCCCAGAAGCTAAAGCTAGCCTCCCCAAGGATGAGTGGCCCAGACAAAGAAGCAAGGCCCTTGGAGATCCGTCAGCCCTAAGGAAGTGATGCTAAGGTCATCACTTAGTCAGATGAATCCATGACCAATCCAGAGCAGACACAAGCTAGCTGATAAGCTACCTGGAGATCCCTATTCTGACTGCAGGATTCTATGCCAACCAGCATTTGATGTTTGAAGCCACTGACTTCTGGGATTCTCTTCAAACAAAGTTGTGTTTACTGTTCTGATGTAGAGTAGGGTTGGAATAAAACTGAGGCCCAGAAATGGCATCAGACACAGAAGGGTCAGCTGAGAAGACACAGTGTGAAAGATTTGGTTTTGCTCAGGAATGTATTTCCTTTATAGTTTCTGTCACCAGGGAGCCAGATGTAGGCTGCCAATGGGCAAACCTGCCCACAGTCAACCGGACTCCAGATGTGCTCAGATTCAAACATGTGGCGGTAACTGCTAATGCAGAAAGGGAGGAAGAGTTAGGAGGGGAAGGAGTAAGCAGTAGGAGAGAAAGGAGAGGAAGGGAGGCCAGGGGAGGGGAGGAAAGGGGAGTTGAAATGCTTAAAATGGTCTGCGTGACTCTGGCCAGTCTTTGTAAAACACTTTCATCTAATTTAACGCTCGTGTTTCCTTCACCCTCTGTCAGTTGTTAAATAAGTGTGAGATCCCACCTAGGTACTTACATGTTTTCAGGGAAACTGTTTTCCAACATGTTGCCTGTGAGTTATATGTCATGTATTATATATAGCATATATTACATATCTTGTTAAATATTTTATGTATTTAAAGTATTTCTCAGAACTTGCTGCAAAATAGAAAAAAATGGTTTCTTTCCTCTTTGAACTAAACACACGCTCGTGATTGACCACACCTGCCTTTGGTTGCAGCTGTTGGAAACTTGGGAAGAAGCACAGTGGCTCACCATCACACTTTAATTAACAGCTCACTTCTCTACCAAGACCTTGATTTTCAAGTTCTAACCCGAAAGGTTTTTAGTGTTTTCCCTGTATAAGCTACAGGAAAAGTTTGAGATGTTTACTTGTTTGGGGCGTCTGCACTGGGGATTGGGCCCAAGATCTTATACATGCTAGGCAAACAACCTATCACTACAGCCTCAGGTGTGTGTGTGTGTGTGTGTGTGTGTGTGTCTGTGTGTGTGTAGTATATTTATAAATTATAAATATAAATGTTGAGACAGGATCTCGCTAAATTACTCATGGTAGCTTTCAATTAGTTTGCCCTGCCTTTGCCTCCCAAATAGTTGGGATTACATGCCTCACTGAAAAAGTATGTTTTTGTTTTTTTAAAAAAAGCTATATAAATAATGTTTAATAAGCTATCATAGTAGGGCAGGATAGGGGTGAAACTGCACAGTGGAAAAGCTATACGTTGCATTTAATGCTGCGTGTTGGGAAGCCAGGAGGCAGGGGGTCTGCTCTCTGTGGCATTTCCCAGACTGAGAGCAAATGTAGGAGCTGTCCACAGCCAGTGCTGACATAGAATCAATTTGTGTCCTGCATGGGGACAAGCTTCCTCCTGTTTGTGTGGTGCTTCCAGTCCTCTCCTGCTGTCCACAAATTCCTGCTCTGCTGACACCTGGGAAACTTCTGTAAGCTGATGATACCCTGAGAGGGCACAGGCCATGCTCCATGGCCCCCAAGAGCCCCCTCACACCTCTTCAAACTGAATTAGTGATGAGAAGTGGGGAGTCCAGCATCCTGGATGCACAGAGCTCTTTCCCTTTATGGTCCCCATTGTGGTACCTCAGCATGATGGCTCACAGGTAGACAAGAGATGAGGCATCCACAACTGTTAGTCTGGTTTAAATGCTTAGCTGGACACCATAGGTTCTAGTGTGAAGGAAACCAAAACACTGGGAAGTTGGTTTTTATGGGTTTCTCTGCTCTTCAGAAATCAGAGGGACAGGTATTTTGAAGAGGGATTTGGCTAGCCTTGCCAAGGAAGGACAGGCAGACCAGTACCTCTTCTTTGTGTTTTAGTGTTCAGTGATTGTTCCCCTGTGTGCTGTAGGTCAGGTGGGAAGCAGGAGTGGAGGGAGAGGTTACTCATCCATTTGTTCATTCTCTTATTCAATAACTTTCTCACAATTCCCAGTTGCTATGGCTGTGGGCAAGATTGTCTATGTGGACTAAATATTTGGGCCCCACTCGATGCATATTGAAATCCCAATCTCCAATGTGATGGCATCAGAAGGTGAGGGATGGGGAAGTAATTAGGTCATAGTGGTAGAGTCGTTGTCTAAGTCCTTCCTAGAATCTGGCTCTAACAAATATACATACTGGGTCATTAAGCAGAGACCCCCTTCCCTCACATTTCAGTAGGCTAGACTGTCTAAGATCAGCTCACAAGCATCTGGGAAGGGTAGAAGAGGAAACTTGCTGCTCTTCCTGCACAGCAAGAAACCACATTGATGGAATGCTCCTGAAGCCTCTTTGGTAAGGGCTTTAGTCCAACTCACAAGAGAAGAGTCTGCATGCTTGCCAATTTTAAAATGTGTTTGGCCTGCACATTTACTTGTGCACTACATGCATGTAGTGCCCATGGTAGCCAGAAGAGGGCACCAAATCCCCTAGAATTAGAGTTACAGACAGTTGTTAGCAGCCTTGTGAATGCTGGGAACTAAACCTGGATCCGCTCTGTAAGAGCAACAAGAGCTTGTAACCCCTGGGCAGCCTCTCCAGGCCCTTATATTTCTTAAAGGCATAGCTTCCCATATCATTGGAGCACCTCACTTTGAGGGGACACTGTCAAACCAGAGCATAAGGTTTTCATGAGAATTCCAGAGAATTTTCTCACTCTTTCTCTGTCACAGGAGGCAAACACTACGAAATTGGCTTAGTCACCTAGTGAGTGACATCTGGAAAGTTGGCTTAGTTGATAAAGTGCTTGCCTTGCAAGCATGAGGACCTGAGTTTGATCCCCAGAACCGCATAAAAAAGCCTATCACAGTTTTATGTACTTGTAATCTCAGCACATGGGGGATGGAGACAGATGGATCCCTCAAGCTCACTAGCCAGCCAGTCTAGCTCACTTGGAAGGTTCCAGACCAGTGAGAGATCCTGTATAAATAAACAGTATAGACCATCTTTTAAATAACTGGAGTTGTCCTCCAGCTCACACACACACACACACACACATACACACACACACATACACGCCATAACACTAAAATGTCAAAATGTTGGATATATTTGTAAGGTTCCAGCACGTCCTTAACAGTGTCACAGGCTGGAGACCAAGCCCACCATATAGGCTTTGGGAGACACTGA